TGACACGGGTCCCAAACTACCCAGACAATTAATATGATAGTAGATACGCACGAACTCTCGTCACCTAGTGCGTACGTACCTCCCGCATTTAGTAGCAAATTATATAATTATTACTCCTATGGGGACAATTCCATCTTACAAGGTTAGAAAGGAGACTCACCTCGCTCCAAAGTGCACTTCCAATACCAAGAACGAGCCCGAACTCTCAATTTGGAGCCGAACGATCCAAAACTAGTTAAATGGAGTAAGAACTAGTCAATACAAGCTCATAAGATCACATCCTAAATTTTAAAGCAATTTACCAACCTTAAACACAAGTTTTCTAAAATCTGACCCGGGCCCACGTGCCCGGATTCCAAAAATTTTCAAAGAAAGTTGTTCTTTGTAACCTAAGGATAAATAATATATAATTTCTACTTCGCTTCATACCCGATCTCGTGGAAAAATCTAAGTTTTATCAAAACCCTAGGTTTTGCTCTAACCCCATGATTTTACCTAAATCCTAGTGTTTAATCTACCTATGACACAATCATTAAACTAAGAATAGGTGGGATAAACTTACCTCAAGATACTAGGTAGAAGTCTTCTCTCAAAAGCTCCCAAAATCGCCAATGGAGGAGTGAAAAGTGGTAAAAATGACTTAGAACCCGCATTAAATGAAGCTCACTGCTTTAGCGATTTCTGCATCTGCGGTCAGGGGACCGCATCTGCGGTCCCGCTTCTGCGAGAAATTGCGCGCATCTGCGGATTTGGCCAAGCGGGCTACGACCGCTTCTGCGGAGCCGCTTCTGCAGTTCTGGGCCTGGCCTACCTTGGCCGCATCTGCGATAGGCGGACCGCTTCTGCGATTATGATAGAAGCAGATGCTTCAACACTTCTCAACATTTCCAACTTCACTCGAGCCTCATCCGATTGACGCTCGGGGCTCCCGGGCCCCGCTTGAACATACAGACAAGTCTGAAATCATAAAACGGACCTACTCAAACCTTCGGAACACCTGAAACAATGCTAAATCTAAGAATCACTCCATAAAACCAATTGCATCAAACTTATGAACTTCAAGTTCTTAATTTTCCTCTAAGGAGCCGAAACGCCCTTAAACTACTCGGATTGACACCAAATTTTTTGGGCAAGTCGTAAATTTTATATTGGACCTGTACCGGGCTCCGAAACCAACATACAAGCTTGATACCCATGTGATCAATCATAATTTAGTTTCTTTAAATCCTTAGAATTTCAGTTTAACATTTTCTAATAAAAATTCATTACTCGGCCTAGGGACCTCGGAATTCAATTCCGGGAATACGCCCAGGTCCCATATTTTCCTACGGACCCTCAGGGACCGTCAAAACACAAATTCGGGTTCGCTTGCTCAAAATGTTGACCAAAGTCAAACTTAGCCTTTTAAGAAAATCTTAAGGAATCAAATAAGCATATTTCAACCCAAATTCTTCCAATTCCTGAACCAACCATCCCCGCGAGTCGTAAATTAGTTAAAGCAAGCGCGGGAAGTTTTATTTAGGGGAACGGAGTTCTAAAAAGCAAAACGACCAGTCAGGAAGTTACATTCTCCACCTCTTAAACAAACGTTCATCCTCGAACGGTCATAGAAAAGTACCTGACGTATTGAATAAGTGTGGGTATCTGCTCCGCATGTCCTCCTCTGACTCCCAGGTTGCCTCATCGACTGGTTGGCCCCTCCACTGGACCTTTACCGCTGAAATCCTCTTGGATCTTAATTGGCGATCCTGTCTATCAATAATGGCAATTGGCTCCTCCTCGTAACTCAGGCTCTCATCCAACTGAATAGTACTGAAGTCCAACACATGGGACAAGTCGGCATGATACCTCCAAAGCATAGACACTTGAAAGACTAGGTGAACTCCCGATAAATTGGGGGGTAAAACAAGCTCGTAAGCAACCTCCCCAGCTCGTCTCAACACCTCAAATTGGCCAATAAACCTTGGGCTCAGCTTCCCCTTCTTCCCGAACCT